TTCATTTTCTAATTGCTCTTTTACAGTACATAGTTGCTAATATATGACTCAAATTCATAGGCTGCTCACGTTCCCTCATGTAAATGTTCTTTTGCAACTCATTGTTGCTATAAGACTCTTGTATTCAAATTCAAATCTTAATAATTAAAAATTCTTTCCTTTGATGCACTTGTTTCATTTTGCAATGTGAATCGTCAATATGTATGAGTTTTAGACTGTATCTTAGAGTCTTGATATTGCTTCCGATCCACGTAATCCTTGAAAATTCAGTATTGTGGTTGCCCTGTTTACCAATTATTATTTCTTGTTACGTTATTACTGCTTTGTTTCTTGCAATTATATCATGTTGTTGACTGAGATAGAAAACCTCTACGTACACAGAACCTTGAGGCCATTGTACTGCCATTTGTTGCTGCTTTGAGGACTTGGTTCTGGGAGCGGTCTTTGAAGGAAGTTGAGGTTTTACTCCAAAACCAATGAGAGGAGTAGCTCAACTCCTTATAAACCTTTGCAAGACATGTAAATCCTCCAAAAAATGGGATTATTCCGTTGCAATGAAGTCTTTACAAGAATTTTGCTTCTTCAATTCCTCACATTAATCTCACAGTCGAGCATGTTGATTGCAATGTTCCATTCTATCATGTCTTTAGCTTGTTGCTTAGCCTTGTACACTTGATCCCTAGAGACATTTAGGCAACAGTTTTTCCTAACTAATTTCATGAAATCAGGCACTAACATCTTGGGATTTGACCTCAGTTCCTCATCAAACCTATCTATCAACCAACTTGATGTGGCAAACTTACTTGTCTGATTTGTACCACAAGTATATGTTGGATTGTAGGTCTTGAGCCTCACAGTAGGTCATTTGCCAACCAGTGAAGCAAAAAACATCTATGGACAAGCTTAATTCAAATCTTCTTCCTCGGCCTTATCTTTTTTGGTCACATCCTCAGCCTTGTCTTTTTGTTATTGTTGTTAAATCCTTAATTGACTCTTCATTTTCCTCGGGTGCATTATCACAAACAAGTCTCACCACATAAGGCTCATTCTTCAAGTACTTTATCTTTCTAGCATATCCAATACTATAATATCTAATAGCTTGTCTACAATCCTGAATTGTAGGAACTTCCATCGCCATATGGAATTTTAGATCTAATAAATCATGCTCCTTATTGTATTGCTTGAACTTTGGAGCTCTAAGTCCATTTTTCCTACCTTCTTCTTCAACACTTTTTAAATCCTCTGTATCATACTCATAAGTCTCAACCTCACCTGATTCTTTTTTATCATCAACTTCCTCAATTACCACATACCTATGAAAGGCATTGTCATCTTCCTCGTCAGTTTGTTCAAAATCAATTTTTCTGTATTCTATATCTTCTTCGTCCTCACCATATTCAACCTTTTCTCCATTACCCTCAACATCTTGCTCAACATATTCAGCATCACCATTTCCTCCCTCATACTATTCTTCTTGTTTTTCCAACCTCACATCTTCAACATCAGCATACTCCATCGCATCTTTTTCTTCAGCATATGATTCATACTCCCCCACATCTTCAACCTCAACATCTACATCTTCGAACTCAACATTTGAGTTAGGTAAGAAAACTGCTTCACTTTCATATGGGGTCAACTACTATCTTATTAGATAGGTATAAGGCAAAAAGACGTTTACTTTTAACCAAATTAATGGATGCCAAGTAATCTTTGTCTTCCTTTAATTGAACTCAACTCCTTGTTCTATGTTTGAAATGGGTAGTCAACATTATTCAAGTCATATCCAAAGTGTACAACATAACTATATAACTCCAGCATCGAGGCCTCATCTGCATCTTGATCATCAATGCAATGCACATTACCCCCATATACATGGAGGCCTTATTTGCATATCGACTGTCATCTTATGCAGGCACTGTCATCAACTACACGACAAACGTAAGACCACTATCACATGCTTAATTGTTTTAAGACCACTATCACATGCTTAATTGTTTTATGTCCTTGCAATACGATATCAAACCTAGACAAAAAAAATCAAAGAAAAGAAAGAAGAGAAAAGATAAAGGAATCAAACAAAAAAGAAAAAGGAGAAAAAGTCACTTACTGTAAAAAGGAGCTTCCCCACCATCTCTGACTTTCAGAGGCATCTTTGTATCAGTCGCCTCTCTTAACCCAACCCAATGTCTAACCACAATCGCACCTTTCTGACTTTTCTCCACCTCATATATACAATCTTTTTGGGTATGAAGTCTAAATCCTTAACTATATCAAATGTTTTGAGTTGCAGTCCTAATTTGATTTGTGGATTTTAAAGGAGATTGATATGATTTGACTTTGATATGGGTCCCACTCATGTGAGGTCCAAATTGCCCTCCAAATTTGTCCCACGTAATACTCACGTGTCAATTTTGACGAAACTTTTGATATGGCCTAGAATTTGTTAAGACTTTATTAGTTTGGAATTTGTTGAACTTTGGCCTAGAATTAATTATTTGGGTACTGTTTATGTGTGTTACTTATGAGTATTGCTTGTGTTTTATGTGCCTTTATACTTTTTCAGTTTTATCTTCATATTTGTTTTAATCTATATAGTTCTAATGTTACAATCTATATAGTTTTGTCTTTAGATTTGTTTTAACTTATGAGTATTGCTCGTGTTACAATGTTATATGTGCACTTCAGATTTTTTGTTGTTGTTGTTATTAATGGAGATGGAAGAAGTAGATGAAGTACCATGGAATGAAGAAATCGAGGAAGAAAAAGAAGAAGAGGAAATGGACGACGAAGAATTAGAAAAACATGATTATGAAACCATTAAGATATTGTTGATGACAATAGAAGCAGGGTGCACAATTTTCTCCGCAAGGAGTGTCGTTCTAATGAATTTCCTATTGAAGAAGATAACGAGCATTCAACATTGTCATCATCACTAGAAAATGAGGGAAATAATTATGACCAAGTTTTTCAAACCCAAGAACAACAACCTGAGAATGCTAATTACCAATGGAGGGTTAGGATATCTTCGTATATGTGGAGAGATGCTATGAATGACGGGAGTCAAAGATGCTCATGAAGCAGATACTTATTCGTTTTTATGCATTTAGAATTATAGTTTTTTTTTTTTTTTTTGGTCAAACTCGCTGGAAAAATTTATTAATAACGAATTGTAAGGTTTACATCGGAAGCAAGAATATTGAAAAGCCAGTCAGTTCCAAGGTCATCCTAAACATGATTACCCCCTATTTAGAAACGAAACCAGCAACAGTGTGAGCAGCTTTGTTACAAGCCTTGGGAGCGAACACAAAGGAGACCCGAGAAAGAGAAGCCACCAAGTGCTTGATATAAAAAATAATCCCCTCCAAATATGAGATTACTGCAATCTGTCCAGTAAGCATCAAGATTCCTGTCTGAGTATCCGACTCCACTATTAAGTCAGTGAGATGGAAATGAACACATGCACTAAGAGCGTGACGAATAGCAAGAAGCTCCATCATAAGAGCGGAGGAGCCATGGAGGTCCCCCTGCCCACTAGCACAGAGCAGCAACCCGAAAGTGTCCCGAATGACCCAACCGACTCCCCCGCGTGACGCCGGAGCTGACCACGCAGCATCGCAATTCACCTTGGGAAAACCTGGCGGAGGTTTAAACCAATTTTGTGGTACAGAGCTGTTGGTGGCTATGTGAGGACGGGCCTGGACTGCTGGTTTAGCCGCACGGTACTCCGTGACTTGATTGAGCAAAAGATGAACAGCCTCCGAGGGATCAACCTTCACACCTTGAAAGACTGCCATGTTTCTGGCTTTTCAGATGCACCACAACCCAAAAACAAACCACTAGAATGCCTCCGCTGCGCGCTCAGAGGACTTGAAAGTCAACATTATATGTTGCCAAGTAGAGATAAAATCTTCACCTTCTAACATGTTTACATCGAGTTGGAGAGGGCTTGCAAACCAGAAGGCACGGGCAAAGTCACACTTGAAAAAAAGATGAGTTTGAGTTTCCATTTAGAATTATAGTTTACTTGTCATTTTTTTTTAACATGAAATTACTTTTATGTTTTTACTTTTGCGCATTTTTCATAAACATGCAAACATAAATCCTTATTTGGTTGCATATTTGAACAAAATAAATGCCCTTTTTTTTTTCTTTGGATGCATATGGTTTGGAAGTTCTTTACAAAATGTTTTTGTAAATGTACTTTTCTTTTTTGAAAATCTAGAAAAACGATAAACAGCCCCCAAAAATAAAAAATAAAAAATTTTAGAACTCTAATAAACTCTTTTAAAATCTATACTAAAACTCTAACAAACACCATTTAAATCAATCTAGGAATTTAATCAAACTCTATGTGGAGTTGATAGAAATCAATTGAACTATATTTAACTCTATAAACTTTATAACTCCATTTAACTCTTTTAAAATCTTAATTGAATACATCCCCTTAGTTCGGATGCTAAATTAGTAGATTTTTTGCCCATATATTGCACCCGAAAGAAAGGGAACAAATAAAAATAAGGGAGTTTCATTAAAACACTCAAAATGGGAGCTGAAATTATAAAAAAACCCAACACTCAAAACACTTTATAAACACACCCAAAACCCATCATTACACACACTCAAAACCCATTTATAAACACACCCAAAAAATATACAATTGTTGATTTTGAGGTTGATTTTGGGTGTGTTTCTATGTTTAAATAGTGTTTAGGTTTTTTTATAAATACATGTCTAGGATTGGGTTTATTTATAAATTTGTATAAAAATAATCCATATAAACCTTTTCCAAAACTTGTAGGGTTTGATTGTAATTACGCCAAACCCCGGAGGGTCTAAATGAAATTATACTGCAAAATTACACATTTAGATTGGGAGGGAAATTAAATTTGGTTTTTTGGGCCAAGAGGAGAATAACTATAAAACATTACTTGCCAAAAACAAATATAGCTAATAATTTAATAAACATTGACAGCTCAGCGGAAAAGGATAACAGTCGCAGTTCTTTGCATATGATATGGCTAACAGTCGCAGTAAATCAAAGTTTGACTTACTAATCTGATTCTGAGATTTCAGACAAGCAGCGCCATGGAAGCCAGCAGCGAGCAGCAGGTACCACTACATTTTCAATTTTTATTTCCATTTCTCTTTCATTTATTTATTTATGTATGAATGAATTTATTGGTTTCTAATTTTGGTGAAGAAAAAGTCGGAAAATTCATCATCGTCTTCTTCTTCAAAGCTCCTGCTCTACTCCTACTGGCAGAGCTCCTGCTCTTGGCGCGTCCGCTTCGCTCTAAGTCTCAAAGGTTTTATTTTGCTTTTATAAATGACTTTTAGTTTGTTTCTGTCAAAATTTTTATAAGAAATTAAAAATCATCATTAATTTCACTCAAGTTTAGGGAAATTTGTTTTTGTTGGTCTGAAATATTAATGGAATTGAATTTACTTGTTTTTGGTTTTATTCATTTGTTGTTAATTGAATGTATAGGACTTCCGTACGAGTACAAACCAGTGAACATAACAAAAGGAGAGCAGTTCAGGGCAGGTGGGTTTGAAGCGATGTTATGCTTATTACAAGCCATTCATGTACTATATATTGAAATAAAAACAGGGCAAATAGTCTATTGCAAAATAGTCTGGCACGTTATGTTGCTAGACGGTTAATTTGAATCTTTTGATTTGGTGGATGCTTACTCAACATGTAGTAGTGATTCACAATTTGACAACATAATATATCTTACCTATGTTTCCAACATTTGATAAGCTAAGCCTTGTTTTTATCTGTGAGTTGCAGACTTTAAGCGTTTGAATCCTCTTCATTTTGTTCCGGTGTTGGTTGATGGTGACATAACGGTTTCAGACTCCTACGCAATAGTACTGGTTAGTGTAATTTGTTGGAAACTGAATTATTTCATTCATGTGATCTGCAGCCAAGTAACCATAGACCTGAAGGCCTTTCATTAGATTATACTTCATATTTGACCATCATTGTACAGTTTGTGAAGGTTTTACTTACGTCTCTTTTGTTTTGTTATCTGAGTACAATCTCTTCTTGTTACTCTTAATTAGTATCTGGAGGACAAGTATCCACAGAGACCATTGTTGCCTGCTGACCCTCGGCTAAAAGCTCTTAATCTCCAGGTAAGTTGGTCCTAAATGTGAAGTCCTTATCAAATTTAAAGAATTTGGTATAAAAAAAAGTTTCTCAACTAAAAATTGACTAGCAAACAAGTCTCTCATGGGGTCAAAAGCCCCTATCTTAAAGAAAAAAAAAATCTGGTTTGCATGTCCTTTTTTCTTTTCTTCAATTAAAGCATGTCACAGGCTGATGTAAATCACTTTTTTTGTTCTGGCAATGAGAAAGGTGAAGCCTCTATAGAAGTTAAGATTGAATTCTTCATGGACTTAGTTTTCTTTGCTGAGTTGCCAATTAGTGAATATTGTCACAGGCTGCAAGCATTATCAACTCTAATATACAGCCTCTTCACATGTTGTCGGTGCTGGTATATTCTGTTTCTTTGTTTTGCATATATAAAATGAAATTTGGTTTTACATTCGTACCTATGTAATCATCCTTGATTTTGTATTTACATATACTCTATTATCATTTGTTTGTGTAGAAACATCTTGAGGAAAAGGTTGGTCCTGAAGAGTCACTATCATTTGCTAAGTTGAATATAGAAAAAGGCTTACTCGGTGAGTGATTATCTGCATGCACATGTTATTTCCTTTACTTATAAATTCTCTGCATGTACTACTTATTTGGAGAAGCTTTCACCATGAAGTGGAGTTTGGTCGTATGTCGTAGCCTTGTTGTGTAACATATTCTGCTTTCTAAATGTGCTTCTCTACTGGTTTTGCATGAGAAGGATTATTCTCATTGTTTATTTGAAGCTTTCTTACACATGCATGACAAAAGTGCACTCTAATACAGAAGTGAGGGAAAAGAAGAGATAGTTCCGATTTTATGTCATCCGTGCTATGCATGCTTTCAGATGAAGTCACCTGCATATTTTAGCTACCTTGATGATCTTAGAGTAAGGTAAGATTTAATAGTAAGGATGCCAGTGCACCTCTTTATATGCAATGCAGTTGTTGGATCTGGATAGATAAGAAGTTTTTTAGCAGCAATGATCCATTTGAAGCCCCATTTGATAATATTCGTGCACTGATTTATGATAGCAACGGCTATCAACAGCCACTTGCAGATTGACAATTCACCTATTATTATGTCTTCTATGTGCAAGTATGACTGCAAATTACTGAGAGAGATCAAATGAACAAATAATTTGATATGCAAAATCACTTGGCGATTGACTTATTAGTTGCAGCTTGTGTGGGAGTAGACCAGGGTGCATTTATGTCTGGTAGTATTAAATAACTCTGTTTTTTAGCTTGTATTAAAGCTTTTATATATAAAAGTATATGTATATTAACATGCATGATGTGAAACTACTCGAGAGTGCTACTAGTTGATGCTTACATTTTCTATTTGTTTATTTCTCATCTGTAGCTCTTGAGATGTTGCTGAAGGACTTTGCTAGCAGATATGCCACAGGAGATGAAGTGTATATGGTCTCTCTTCTGAATGCTCTGTGCTTCTTTGTTACAATTCTTTAACTGCAATCCTATCTTAATTCCTTTTATTTAAACCAATGTGAACTGACAACAATTTTCTAACCCAACTTATTGGCGGATGACATAAATGGTGACAATGAGAGATCTCCATGACTCTTGGATGTCTGTGCATTAATTGAAGTTTTAGAAGCTATATAAGATTTTTTTTCCCGCCGCTTGAGCTGTTTCTGACTAATTAAAGGGTTTTAATTGCAGGCAGATGTGTTCTTAGCTCCACAGATTGTTGTATCTACTTCGAGGTTTAACATTAACATGGTAAACTCTTGTCCGCTTCTGTGTTCTTTGCTTTCGTAAATTTTATTTTGTTTGCTGTTTATCTGTGTGTTCTGTGAAAATATTATCAAACAACTTTAGGCGCAACTCTCAACTGTTTCTATAGTTATTCCCCCCTCCCTTCCTCTAATAGACTGGTCCGGTTATATGTGAATGTCTTAATTGTGCAGAAACACAGGGTTAGGTATTGATTTTCTCACATAATTTTCTTTGGTATCAGCTGGCATTTTACTTATTTGGGTCCTTATATATTTGCTACATTCTGCCTTGCACAAGTAAATGACAATATGGCATGAACTAAGGAAACAGAATACAGATGCAAGGTGACTTTGGTTTTTCCTTTTTTTCTTTATTTTTTGTGCAGTCCAAATTCCCCACTTTAAATAGGCTGTATGAATCCTACAAGATGTTACCAGAGTTTGACGCTTCGTCACCAGAAAGGCAACCTGATGCTGTGCATTAAGTCTGGAATTTTTCCGCCATATTCCTCAAAGCAGTTTTGTATTTGCCACTATCTCTCTACTGGAATGAGTGATCACATGTAAATAAGATCAAATTTGAAAATGTTGATCACTGGTGTAACAATGTCGTGTCGATTGTGTCCAGTTCTTTGTAAGAGAAACATCACTCGAATTCTATGTGTAATATAATGTATTGGTATTGAATAAAAATCATGCAGCCAAACAATTTCTATTTCCAAAATCAAACATGTAATTACAGATGATCTATGGTATCTAAATCCGGTAACTTAGCCGGGTACAAGAACAAGTCTGGATACCGAGTTCAATTACTGCTATTAGTTGCATCTAAACTAATCATATGTTGTGCTATTTCTCTCACAAGTGAGTTGAATTTTTATTATTTGCATTTGTAACATGCACAAAGTGCTTGAATTGAAGCCGTATACTTGAGTCAACAATTACATATGTGAGTACTGGTTCTTCGATTGACCTTATTGAATATTGTAAATAGAATCGTGGTTCATAATTTATATATGGTAACGTTAATCGCTTAATTAGTACAACTATTGCATTGCATGTGTTGTCATAGGCGACTCTGCTTATTGGGGGTTGTTTAAAAGTGTCTATGTTTTTTCGTTTCAGGGTTGTTCTTGTCCATCTTTTTTGGTGAAGCCTTATATAACAGTAGAGATATGTACAATATAATGTATTGGTATGAAAATAAATCACGTACGAATGTAATCAAACAATTTCTTCATTGTATATTTCATAAAACAAAGTGCACAAAATACAAGTCATGTAAAATGTTGATAATCTGTCTTTAAATCTTGTACTGCAGCTTGTCACCCTTGCAAAGAGGGTCTGCCAGCCTTGTTGAGATCCAAATTGCACGAGTGCGCTTCTGGATACGTTTGCTTTCCGCAAAAAGCTCCACCACAATGGCATTCAAACCCCAACACTCCAACCTCTCTGTTGCAGCTTTCACATCTGTTTTTCTTTGATTCACTATTATTATCATTAGTATTAGAAACTGAATCATTTTGATATGAAAGCAAGGAAATTCCTCTAGCGATGGAACCCTGATCAGTTTTTTCCACTGATGATGCCACCATGGTCGACTGAGCATTGAGATTCTGTTGTTTGGTCGAGAGGCTTGTTCTTGTTGTTCGAACCCACGACGACGTTTCGGGTCCTCCAATTCTTCCCCGCTTCCCTCCACCTCCCTCTACCACACCACTCGATTCTGTTTGAGCAGCCATTCCGGCAGCGTTGTGATTAGAACTCGAGGCTAATCGATCTGCAAAGAACTTCACAAAATCCGCATGAGTCCGGCAGCGTTCAAAATCCTCGATGTACGGAGGTTTGGGGGTTGACCGGAGTGAGTTTAGAAGAGTCTTGTAGTCGGGGCTTGTTCTTGTTGTTTGAACCCACGACGACGTTTCGGGTCCTCCAATTCTTCTCCGCTTCCCTCCAACTCCCTCTGCCACACCTCTCGATTCTGTTTGAGCAGCAATTCCGGCAGCGTTGTGATTAGAACTCGAGGCTAATCGATCTGCAGAGTACTTAAAACAATCCGCATGAGTCCGGCAGCGTTGAAAATACTCGTCTTTGATGTACAAAAGGTTGGGGGTTGACCGGAGTGAGTTTAGAAGAGTCTTGTATTCAGGGGCGTCTATCGGCGGGATGCCCAATTTTAGGGTTTTCTTTCGACTCCCAACTTTAGGGTTTTCTTTAAGGCTTTCTTTCGACGCTTCCCACCCAAAAATAGACACTCTAGGGTTCTCCATTAGAAGACCACCTTCAAGGGTTTGAAAAACCACCCTGAATATTTAGAGATTAAAAAAATCTAAACTTAATATCCTAATCCGCAGGTAGCCGAGCTAAAACTTTAACAAGTAATCCAACCAGACCTTCGAATCTCTGTAGAGAAACCAGACGGGGGGTGAAGATATTTATAGAGTTCAAAAAATTGAAGTTTTTGTTTAGAGTCGATGTGGGACTGCTACAAACCCACGACCCGGTCTCTTCTCGATGTGGGACTAATGAGTCCCGGTTCTTCGGTTATTTCATTGGAGACCTGTTCACCCCATGATGGACCTCTTCATCGTCGTCTCTAGTAATGGTGGTAGTGGACATGCTCTGACTCAGGCTGCAAATCTCCGATTCCTGTTAGATGTCTCCATTGTTATTGCTTGGCCAAAATATCTCTTCCAGCCTTCTTGAGATCCAGATTGCTTTCCACAAAACACCTCACCACGGCGGCACTCGAACCCCAACACTCCAACCTTTCCCTTGCAGCTTTGGCACCTGTTTTTCTTTGATCCACTATTATTTTTATTAGAAACTGGATCATCTGCAGTTTGAAAAGAAGGCAAGGAAATTCCACTTCCATCAAGTTTGTCCATTGATGAAGCCACCCCCATGACCGACGACTGAGCATTACTTTTCTCTTGTTTGACATAATCTTGGTAGCACTTTGAGCACATGTTCTTGTTTTCGACAGAGCCATAGAAGCCACAACGCTTTGCACACATTAGACGCTCCATGTTCATGTTAATGAACTTTGTTTTCTTGGCTTCAAAAGATTATTGCTTCTTTCTTCTCGATCTTTTGCTAATTCTTTGGAAATTATAGCAGTGAATTTATAGGCAAAACCAAAATGCTTCCTCGGCTTCTTCTTCTTGTTATAAGAATTGTATGTGTATGTGTGTGTTGGATTGTATTTGTTTATAGGTTTATATATGGAATGGTGATGGTGGTAGATTTTGTTAGAGTTTGTAAGAGAGTTGTTTCCTTCTATGGTTTATAAGCACCAACACTTTAAAAATATTAAATAGAGTATGGGCCTAGTGAAAGCAAAGTTGGGTCAACCAAGGTGGTTGGTGTGAGTGGTTCGGCACTCTCATTCCTTAAGAGAGGTCAGGGGTTCGATCCCTGCTCTCGTATGGAGTCACCACTTTGGCCAGCACTTTACTCCTTACGGGCCGACCCGGTGTGAACGGGGATTAGTCTGGGTTGTGGTTAAGGCTTAAAGGTGCCATCCATAGTTGGAGCCCATCCAGGACCACCTCGTGGTTCAGACCAAAAAAAAAAAAAAAAGCAAAGTTGGGTCTCTTCATGGTTTGGGCATGGAATATATTTGGTTTGGTAATATATATACCAAAAGATGGGGTTGGGCCTTGGGGCTCTGTTGATTTAATTAATAATTTATTTTCATTAATTGAAAATTCGTTTTTCAGATAAAACCAAAATATGAAATTCGAATTTGTTAAACAGTTAACATAAGGGAGTTTCGCTAAAACACCCAAAATGGGGGCTGAAATTATAAAAAAACCCAAGCACTATTTAAACATATAAACACACCCAAAACCCATCATTACACACACTCAAAACTCATTTATAAACACACCCAAAAAATATACAATTGTTTATTTTGGGTGTGTTTCTATGTTTAAATATTGTTTGGGTTTTTTTATAAATACATGTCTAGTATTGAGTTTATTTATAAATTTGTATTAACATAACTGTTGGATGAAGAGGTGTCATGCCTCTATATAATGACATTTCGTCCAAACTAGATAGGCACTTTTTGAACATCATTAATCATTCTCACATTTTAACACTTCTTGAGAGAATTCATACCAGTCTTCACCAGAAATCAAAGCCACAGTGCTTAGGCTTTGATTTAAGATAGTTTAATCCTGGTGGTTAGACTCATATCGAATTACAAGCACAAGGGTAGAGGAGAAATACTGTCTAAAGGACACTGCAACTCTGCAGGACTCTATCTACAGATTTGAGGTAGTTTATGATTTGGAGCAGTATTTTATGGTGACTTGGAGCGTAGTTGGTTCAAATGTTTGTGACTTCACTAGCAAAGTTTACTTCCCTCCACTCCCCTGCTGATATCAAGCAGAAAAATATAAGATGCAATAATTAAGGTTGGTATTCTATACCATATAGTTGCTGTACAGGATGTGCATAAGTTTAAAGATTGTACCAGTTACTTTTCCTTCTTAATCACGATGTTGCTTTCAAGTAGTCTTATAGTGGAATATACTGTTACTTTTACTTATCATTGTTTTTAACATTAAAGGCAATACCATCTGCTTTCTATTATTTTTGATAGTCTCCTATCTTTCCAGTAAAATTAATTTCTCAAGTGAAAATGAGAAGTTAAGTTGGTTAAAAACTTTATAACCTGGTCCCAATTGTCTTATTATTGAAGAACTGAATGGTGTATCTTGTTTGATGCTTGAGCATAGTCGGACATTTTGCATGACTGGCAGAAGAGAGCTCGGTAGAAGAGTCATAAATGTGCTTATGTAATTCTCTGTAAAATGATTGTTAACATGGTGAATGATTGGTAATGTGTAAGGTAAAACATCTGGCTTCGATTGTGTGACAGGGCCCCAGCGGTCTCTGGGTGATATGTCAATCACTGTGTTAATCATGTGCTATCATCTAATAATATTGCAGAACTATATTACTTCATGACCTGCTTACTGACCTTTAGAAATTTATCTATTCAGCAGCAGACTCAGGAGTTTGAGCATTGAGATGAATCTGATGTTTTATTTGGTCAATTGTTTATAGGCTATAGTTACAATTGCAGATGAAGATGGGAACTATCTACAAGATGCCTGGGAGTACAACATGAACCACCTCAGGCTTGTATGGTCTGGCATTTGGCATGTGCTCTCCAATTTCTTTGTGAGAATTGGTTGTTCTGAAAACCTGTCTATTGCAAATTTTTCTTTGGATTCTCTATGGACGGTTGTCAATATCATTCACCTCTGGATCATATTGATTAGGTTACAAATCTCTCTTACCGTTTCTTCCTCCCTGTCTTGTCACATCAGCACCCTGGGGACAAACGTCTATTCAAAAAACTTGGTTCAGATTTTCATACAAGTGCAAAGGGAGAGCTTTAGATGGTTCCATGGGTCTTTTAAATAATTTCTATGTTGGACAAAACAAATTAGCCCATGAGCTGTGGTTATATTTATTGTACCTTCTCTCTTCTTTTCAAATTGTCCGTTCGATCTACATTGTTTTTCATTTCTGTCTCTCTGCAAGTTTGTCCGAGCTTAGTTTTGATCCTATATAGGCCTGAAATCAGGAAGAATGCCTTACAAGTGCTGTATGAAATTACGTAACCACGGTAACCTTTTCTCAGTACCTATGTGGGGAAGGGTTTTTGAATCTGTGCTATTTCCAATATTTGACCATGTGCAGCATGCTATTTATCCCTGGGGAAGGTTCACCACGACAAGGGATTGATGGTGATGTGGGCGAGCTTGATCAAGATGCCTGACTCTATGAGACATGCACAGTGGCACTACAGTTAGGATTGCTCCATTTAGAATTGCTAGTCACATATTTTTTCAATTATGAACAAAATGAAATTGAGAACATTTATATTTCTGAAAAAGAAAATTTCCCTTCTTCTTTTGAATTCAGTGAAAAAACTTACCTTGTCCATACTTGTCTTCTACATTTTTTTAAACTTAGTTTCTTCTTCTTTTTTCACTTACCTTGACATCCCTTAGGTTTTTAGGTGCGATGAAGCAGTACTTATGTCTGTCACTGTTGAAGAACAGTGCTTCAACTCTTATGATAGTTTTTCAACTATCTTGCTCCATCTTCATTAGTCTGGTGTCAAGATTTAGAGCAGGATTGAAAGCAGAGATTGGAGTATTTATTTATATATATATATATATATATATGATTGTTCTAAGAGTTTTGGAAAATGTTGCGCAACACAATTTTCAGCCGAAGAAGCTAGTGCTTCAGTTCTTGAGAAGCTCTTCTGTGTTAATTCCCAGATCTTGGTAGACATATTCATCAATCATTGTGACTGTGATGTTAATTCATCAAACATTTTTTAGAGGTATCCCCAAAATACAATATTAAAATTTCAAAAGCATTGAACATTGATGATAATATCCAGTTCCATCCATCCAGTTCGATAGCATAGCAGTTGTCCTGCATTGTTTCCACACCCTCATAGCATTGTGAATTACTTGGTCTTATGTTAACAGTTTTGCGTTTGCCTGGTCCTTATCCTTTTGTCCTGATATTGTCAGGATGGTAAATGGCCTTCTTAAAACTGTCCATGGTGTCCCTCCTGGTGTTGCCACGTTCCACCACATTATTACCGCCTCAGTTGGCAACCATGAACTTGAAGCTATGAAGAGCTTGGTTGGTGTTTTGAGGTCCATCGGAGACTGAGAATATATAGTTTATAATTATTTCCCTAGTACATTTTTATAATTTCCCTCTTTTTCTTTTGAGGATCTTATAGTAATTAATGGCATTGTAACATTAATTATCTCTTTAAGCAGCATATCTTAATTGACGCCCCAAAAGCCATTATTTGCATATCGTATTTAAGGTTTGTAAAGAGAAGATGAGAGTGTAATAGGTTTCTTGGATTGAAAGAGACAATAATAAAACTTAAGAGCTTAATGATTTAAGTAGTGTTTTTCTATTTAAATCATACACTTTTCTTTGTTCACCCCAATACTTAAATCATTAAGTTTTAAGTTTTATTATTGTGTAAAAAGACAAAAAAGGTCATTCAACTTAATACTTAACCCTAGTACGTCTATACGCCCACTTCATATTCTTGATTTGAGCTTTTAATTAATGGGTTCTTTTCAGTTTTAGTTTGATTGATTGAAAGTACGTGAGTTTTATTGTTTTCTTCTAGGCAAAGTTGATTGCTTTGTTTTGGTACCTTTGGTAATGCAAATAGGGGAATGCGACTGTGGTGGAGAATACGGAGAGAGGATGTCGTGATCTTATTTTCCAGAGGATACGGGCAGCTTTTGATTTTGGAATTTGAGATACTTGAGTAGGGTTTTCTCTTGAAAGTGTAGGATTTGATGATTTTGGAATCATGATTCAGATCTAATGTTTCCTATCAAAATAATTTGTTGAATCTAATGTTACAATGTTTTGCAATGTCATTGATAAAATTCTTTTTTTACAATAAAATATCAAACACATGATGTTATACATTAGGAGAGAAGCGGGGCCATGTCAAATAAAACTTCCATTAGAATATTCAGGTTTAGCTTTCTATTGGAATATTTTATCTCTTTAAGTAATGTGAGGTTGAGGTGAACTTAGAGTAGTGAGCGGCAAGATAGGGGGTGTGGGGTGTGAGTGTTTGTGCAAATAATCTCACGGGAGAATATTCGCTTTTAGATCCTTCAACCTTCGATCTTCCTTCTCTCTCTTCCTCGATTCCTGTAAAACAGATTGGAGTAAATAGACCACACTCGGGGGGTGTTGGCCAAAGGCCCTCCGATGCCTAAGTTAGTTCGAGTGTTTGTAGGAAAACAATAGCTAAGCAAAGGGTACGGAGTAGTGTTTATGTAGGGTGTGAACCGGGCGGCCGGAGCCGTGTGTGGTGGCTGGAGCCGTGTGGAGAAAATATGGAGAGTGGAGAGGGAGAAAGAGAGAGCTTTGGGTATTTTTCTTGGGTATTAGGAGTAGGTTTAGATGTACCTTGAATGATGAATGAAGTCATTTATTTATAGGAGTC